ATGGCCCAGATTTTAGCTGCTGTCACCTGGGGTTGGAACTGGGTAATGGATGGGAACTTTTACTGCTATCTTTCATCGGATGAAAGTATTGCTGGTCAGGCCTAGATACACCAGGATGTACCTGGGAAGGAGCACTTTAGCTATGAATGGAATCTGAATAAATTCTGGTTGCTGTCTTTGCAGGGGGACCTGAAAGAAGTTTATAAGATTTTGAAGCATGCAGACTGGGTGAATAGAAAGTAGCTGTTCCGTTTGGTTGAAGGATCAACAACAAGATCAATATCAATAATTTTCAAGTGAAAAGCAGGAGGTTTAGAGGGGATTTAAGGAAAAAATCTTTCACCCAGCGGGTGGAGGTGGTCTGGAATGCACTGCCTGGGAGGGTGGTTGTGGTCGGAAATCATACAGCTTCTAAAAAGTACTGGGATGAGTATTTAAAATATCATAACATTCAAGGCTATGGGCCTAGTGCTGGAAAGCAGGACTTTGTCTAGGTTTGATAAGGCAGACTTGATGGACCAATGGGCCTCTTCTGTCTTGTATGATTTTACTTGTGTTTGAGAAGGTGATAGTGAGCCACCTGTTTCAATCCCTGCAAGTCCATGTGGTATATTCCTGTTAGGAAAATAATTCCTGGATTTTGACACAGTGACAATATAGGAACAGCAGTATTATAGGTTGGGATAGTTGGAAAGGAACTTGCCAGTGGTAATGTTTCCAAGTAGCTGCAGCCTTTTAGATGGTAGATGTCAAGGGTTTGGAAGCTGGTGTCAAAGCAGGCTTTACAAACTACGATAATGTCATTTACACTCTCCAATTCTACTTCTTTCCTGCTGTGTCTCATTATTAACCTCCTGAGCAGGCATGTGATACACTCACAGGAAGGAAGCAGTGTGCTGATTTAGATTTGCAGGTGGCAGTACCATCCTGACCTGGATCTTCTGTCAAAGGGCTGAGGCTTGATTTTTGACCATTTTCTACACTTACAACAAAAGCACTAGTCAAAAAGGGTTAGGTCAGGAAGGGGGAAAGACAATTCAAGAAGGAGAAAGTCAATTATCTGCACCTTCCTTCTCTCAGGTAAGTTAGAAGTTGATAGATGGGGGAGGTCACCTTACACACTATTACACTTAAGAAGGTGAGGGGTGGGGGGTTTCATATCAGTGCATATCATTATTCAATTGCATCAACACAGCAGAATCTCATTAGTGGGATGTTGATGAGCCTTGGGACCTAAAATAGCCCAGGCTTCAAACTAATGATAAGTGGACTTGATGTTTGCCTGCTCAAAAATCCAACTTTTGTTATAAAAAAATTCTCCTTGGTTGGGTTTGACTTTCTGTTCCTTCAAAACCCACTCTCGATTAAGATCTTCCACCTTGAATCCAGTTAGACTTTCATGATCATCTTGATGTACGTATAAATAACAAAAGCATTAGTCAAAAAGGGTTAGGTTAGGAAGGGAGAATGACGATTTATGGAGGAGGAAGTCAATTATCTGCACCTTCCTTCTCTAAGGTAAGTTAGAAGTTGATAGATTTAGTTGCCCCCTGTTGCACTTAAGAAGGTGGTTTGGGGGGCCAGTGGGTTCACATTGGTGCATATCATAAATCAATTACATCAAAACAGCAGAATCTCATTAGTGGAATGTTGATGAGCCTTGGGATTTGGATAAATGTGAGGTTATTCACTTTGGAAGAAAAAATAAGAAGGCAGATTACTACCTGAATGGCTGTAAATTGGGAGAGGGGAGTGTGCAGCGGGACCTGGGTGTCCTTGTGCACCAGTCACTGAAGGTAAGCATGCAGGTGCAGCAGGTGGTAGAGAAGGCAAATGGTATGTTGGCCTTCATTGTGAGAGGTACAGGAGCAGGGATGTGTTGTTGCAGTTGTACAGGGCCTTGGTGAGGCCACACCTGGAATATTGTTTGCAGTTTTGGTCTCCTTTTCTGAGGAAGGATGCTCTTGCTCTTGAGGGAAAGCAGCAAAGGTTTACCAGGCTGATTCCAGAGATGGCGGGTCTGACATATGAGAAGAGGTTGACGAGGTTAGGATTGTTTTCGCTGGAGTTCAGACAAATGAGGGGGGATCTCATAGAAACTTCTAACAGGACTGAACAGGGTAGATGAAGGGAGGATGTTCTCGATGGTGGGTGTGTCCTGAACCAGGGGTCACAGTCTGAGGATTCAGAGTAGATCATTTAGGATGGAGATGAGAAGACATTTCTTCACCCAAAGAGTGGTGAGCCTGTGGAATTCATTACCACAGGAAGTAGTTGATGCTAAAACATTGAATGTATTCAAGAGGTGACTAGATAAAGCATTTATGGCAAATGGGATCAAAGGTTATGGGGAGAAAGCAGGATTAGACTACTGAGTTGGATGATCAGCCATGACCGTGGAAGAATGGCGGAGCAGGCTCGAAGGGCCGAATGGCCTCCTCCTGCTCATATCTTCTATGTTTCTATCAAATGTGGGTAGCATAATTTGGGAGTCAGTTGGCGACTAAAATTTGCAGTTAGATGTCCAAAGGAAAAAAGGTGTGATGTCACTTATATTTTATGTGCAAGCACTCTCTGAGCAAGCCTGTTTACCTGATTTGATTTGGAGTGCTCGTGGGTTGACGCGAAATTAAAAAAAATTGTTTCTCACCTGAATCTCCCTTTATCCATTTTCTGGACTGTGGGCTGTCAAATGCTCATTAAAAACCAGCTGGGGTTGATGGTGTTGGAACAGGTGGCATTTAAAAAGTCCAGACAATTTAAAAGTAAATTTAAGTGTGACGTAAACACCCAATTCTTGTTATTTTAAACTTGAACTTAGGCTTTCATGAGTTTGTGGCAGCTGCAGTTACTTATTTACACTTCAACCTTCCTCGACTGGTTCCAGAGTGTTTTACACCATTAATCTTATCAGTTGACATGTTTGGTAGAAAAGGGGACTAACTGAAGATAATCAGACAGATCAAGTCTGGGTCAAACCATTCGTCCGTCCATCCCAACAGAGTTAATATTTCCAATCCAGCCACCCTTCGTCAGAACTGACAGCATGTGGGAAAAACAGGCATTTCTTACCATTAACTGTTTTCGCTCCACATATGCTGCCAGATCTGCTGTGTTTCTCCAGCAGTTTCTGTTTCAGATTTCCAGCATCTGCAGTTCCTTGTTTTATTTTCATGAAGAAGGTTACCTGCTTTCTTAAACATCGAGGAAATGCTGCTATGTAACATATAATTTGTGTGTGTGCAAAACTGTTCAAACAGATGATCTGCTCATTATCACTTCTCATTTATAAGCAAAGGTGGGTTATAGGTGTCAGCCTGTGCTGCTGATGAAACAGAAAGCTTTTTCTGCATGTGATCAGGAATGACAATCTTTCTACTACTCCTTCCATGGTCCAGCCAACTCTTCTGCATCTGTACTGAAAATGACAGGTACAAAGCTGCATCTTACTACTCTGTTTCGTTTTGCACAGTAGTCAGGGAGTACACCTTAATAAGCCCCAAGAACAGCATGAGAAGGCATCCTTTTGTAATTTCAGTGCTGACAGTTGTGTGCATAGGTGGTCTGAGTTACTTACCTTAGTAATTTATTCATGGTCTCTGCCATCTAATTGTATGAAAGCATAACAATAACACCCTCTCACAATCTGAACCAGATATTTGTATCCATTGCACAGGAACCTCTTCACTCACTCCGACGATGAACCATGTAATCACTTGGGGACACTAAATTTGAAGAGATGAAGCATCTTAAGAATGTAACTATGTATAAATATACAGGGCAAACATTGTGATTAGATTCACTCGGTTTTATGAGCATAAACTTGTCTCTATGTAATCATCCAACAATTGTCAACAAACCACGTTCAGCACATCAAAGCATCATCTGGCTTGAATTAACAAAATGATTTCTTAGTATTCCCTCTTGCAGTCCAAGTTGTTGCAACCTTTACTACCCATCTCTCTTGCAATATTCTGTTTCAAATGTAGATTACTGCACCAGTCTGCGTTTTAGCATTTTCTTTTCAAATCAACCACAGCCCGATAATATATCAAAGGCCCTCCAGAACAACGGGTATATGATATTTTCATTCATCAGAATAGTTAATGGATTAAGTATTAGTTATGGTCAATGGAGAAACAACATTACCTCTGGTTGATTGGCACCTTAATTACTCATGTTCTCGGAGATCTGACAAAAAAATTGGGGTGCAAATGGGTTATGCCTTATATTCAGGTTCATAACTGATGGAGCTTATGGAGCACATACCAACTGAATTGTCCGAAACTGTGCTTCGAGCTCATTCCATTCACTTAAGCACAAAGCCAGTGTGCACGATGTTTCCAGTGAGAGCCCTCCCTATTTAAAGCAGTTGTGCCTCTTACTGCCGGAAATGGCTTTTCTGCTGGGTTGGGGGGAAGCCCATTGCTGGTTGCCAATGACTCTCAGGATCCACTCCTCTTGGTTCTACAGAACTCTAGCAAAGAAATATTTTTTCTTGGGGTGCTGCTCGCTGGGATCCACCTGTGTTCAGAAAACCTGTAGCTCTGTAGTCCCAGTGTCCACTTCATTCAAGGTGGTCCCATTTCTTGGCGGGAGGTGAAATTAGATCCATATGTGGGAGACTTTACTGTCAAATTAGTGCTTTTGATCCCCATCGTACACTTGAAAAATTTGAATATACAATGTTTTTGAAAAAAAATTCTCCAAAAGAAATCTCTTTCACCAAAGTATTCCTCTGCAAAATTGGTCAAAATATCCTTAAAAATATAAAAGCAATCAAGGAGCTAGCACTTGAGTAACATGTAGCTAGCATTCAGATAACTAGTACACACACAGCACGACTGTAGGAACAAATATTAGTTTTATTCTCAAGCAATTACAGTCAAGAAAACTGTACAGAACAAATAAAATATTTTAAGTTTACAAAGAACAGAATTCAATAATTCTGTCCTAAAACACCAAAAAAAGACAAATTATTAGAATATATAACAATTTATTGACAACTGTCAAGTGTTATCCACTTGAAGCATCATTAGATAAATATAAAGCAGTATGTAGCATGTCATTTATTTAAAAAAGAAGAAAAGGGTTCATGCTAAAATAGAGTTGTGTACATTTAGAAAAACCCCAACAGTTTCTGGCTCATGCTCCTTAGAAAAGCTCATGATTTTAATATATAAGAAAATCCTTTTCTTAAATTAAATTACTAAAATGGACTTCATGTCAAAAAAAACATTCCCAACTACTCTTGATTTTTGTGCCAGACAAAAAGGTTTACATAAGCTTTTATTACATTTGCACTGACCCAAAGACATATTGTGTTAATTTCCAATTAAATCATAGTCAGATTCGCTGTACATTGGCAACAATTTGTCTTTCATTCTTTTTATTTCATCTCTTTGAACTTTCTCCTTCACACTTCGCACTGGTCACACAAAGGATTCTGAAAATACCTCTGCAAAAAAACACCATCTATTACTGACCTGAAATCAGGCTGATTTCAGATAATAAATTATGTAGCATTTATACACTCCACAAACCGCCAGCTTCATGTTGTTAATTTAATTTGGGTATTAATGACAAAGTTTTGCAATAAAACCATGCAAACTAACATACAGTTTACATTTAAATTCAGTACTTGTGGAATACGAAATCGTTCTTCAACACATATATATAATTTACTTTTAAGTTATTCAGCCCTTGCATTTTTTATGATTAAAATAAATCTAGTGTTTTCGTCTAAAATTAACCACACCAAATACTCAACCCTTTGAAATAAACATGCCAACACAAGAACATGAAAAGTGATACAAGGTAATGGTACAGAAATAATCCTTAACTACATTAATTAGTGTCACTTAAAATGATTAAGACACAAAGATTCAACCAGCATTCCAGAAAAAAAACAATATGTTTGAGGTAAACATTATAATTTCTGAAGACTTATAAAGGCATCAGTTCTGTTAACATTAAAATTACAATGCTCTACCTGAATGTATTCAACACAATAAGATTTACTTCACTTTGGAAAAAAAAATCTACATGCAAACAAATTCCTTCATTAACTGGTGGTTTCTCAGTGTTGACATATATGATAATTTGGGTTACTGGTCACCAGCATTTCAGTAATCACATAAACTGAATGTAGGCTCCTAGTTCGATCACTGAAAGCAAAGGAAATCAACTCGGATTGATCTAAACAAATGCTCTAAATGTTGGACAGAAAAGTTTAATCTGTGACAAAAAAAAATCATAGTTTTCATGCATAAAGTGTGCGAACGTTTTCAAAATGATCTCCCAGAACATTGTACATGATGTTAGGAGCAGCCAGTAATGGAATAAGACTGGTTGAGTGATGCTGCTAATGTATGTCTAATGCGTTAAGAGAGACAACTGGAAATTGCATCCACAGCACAGAATCGTCCAACCACATTCCTCTGGCAGCGGTTCCCTTCTCCCAACTAAACGTTGAGACAGTAAAAAAGTAAGGCAGCTGTTAATGTCCATCAACAAAAGTGCAGTCTGTACATTTCCAGTTAAGTCACACTCCACTAGAACAGATGGAGCAGCCATGCACTTCAGTGGTTAGGCTGGTTCAGCAGATTTTTTCCAACGACGTGGCCACTTGCTTCAGTTTTCAGAGGATCCAGAGCCGCAAATCATCACTGGGGCCCACATCAGCCCCTGACTTAATTTCCATGTCTCATCTTTCCTGAGTCCCACACCAATTCCAAGACTCTTTCCCTGTAACTCAGCAGGTCTGGTGTCAATAATAAGGCTGATGGCACAACTGGAGAGAATTGGGGCTAATACCCTTAGTTTTCATGACTTCACTGAAGGGTCAAAACAGTTAGATTATTAAATAACTATGTTCAATCACATTCAGGCACAGCTAAAGATAGACAAGAAAAGAATGAACAGTTTACTGACTGGCAAGAGTTACTGTAAATGGTAGCTGAAAATTTTCTAGTATCAATCTTTGACAAAGAAAATTAAATTCTTACCTTGGCAAATTCTTGTCAAGTCAGAAAATGGACAAAAAGAATAGCTAAACCAATATTCAACAGCATAACCAGGATAACCAAGATGGTATTTGGACTCTGCAATTTTTGTGAAGAGGAATGTTATTAATATGAATGGTTACAAGTTGCTTTGATCTTGCAATTTAAAAACAAAAAAAATCATCCATCCATTTTCACTCCAAAGTGCTTCTTCTCAAATTAGCAGTGAATTACTAAAAATATAAAACTATTCAAGGTGCTATAATTATTCAACATAAATTTTTATGAGACCCTAATAACATATTCGAATATGCAAAGACCTGCGAATAAAATGTAGCTCTGTATTATACAAAGACAGACATTCAGAGTAAGGCTGGAAATTAACTCCCATTTGATATCATGAAAACACATTTAAAAGACTGTTCTCCGCAAACAGGAAATAATGGCAAATGAGACAAGACTTGCAAAGAGACTTTAACCGGACACGCTTTAAACCTGGTAACTTTTACGCTATGTTTTGGTTTACTTGTCATAATCCTGAGAATAGCTGCGCCTTTTTAAAAACATACGTTTCCAACACACAGGAATACTCAACGGATGTGACTTTCCATTGTTTACAGAATGGGGACGTGATATTCCTCTCGTTAGAGATGCCGAGAAGGGCAAACAGTTGGGCGTGTTTGCCCTGGAGAGATATTCACCTCCTCCTCCCTGCCACCTCATAAATTAGGCTCTGAATGAGAAAGACCATGGATGACCTTCACAACTTGCCACTAATTCAGGCCCCCAAGCAGGTAAGAAAAGGGAATGGGGAAACCAGGGTGATTTTGGTTTTCTAATGGTAAGTTGAAAGGCCCCAATAAGGTCAATGGCATGACAAAAATCCCACAGTCTCGTGTTTGCAATATGGCTACGATGCATGAGTACACATAACGTGAAACCGTTTTCAATAAAGTCCTATGCTGAAGATAAAGTCTGTACGGCATGAGAATCCTGTGGAAGATCAGCTCACAATCATTGAAAAATTGAGTGGACCTGTCTGCTTTGTGCTGTTGTGTCTGAGGTCAGCAAGTTTCCTTGTTTACCTCTATAGCACAAAGGAGTGGAAGAGGAGAATGGAATTTTGTGCAGAGGTTCTGGACTGGCGCTGACGAATGGGGTAGGGGCTTGGACAGGTGGCATGTGAGGGAGGTAGTGATGGGGACAGTCTGCCAAAGTAAGATAAATAGCGGCCTAAAGGACAGGTGTCAGAACTGTCCAAACTTATGTCCATCTCAGAGCAATGGCTTACAAGTCCTTACAGGGCTTTGAATTCATCCACAACATTTCAAGTACCCCTACAGAGATTGCCCTCAGATGATGTTCTTCAGGCACATACAAATAAGATGCAGAAGTAGGCCATTTGGCCAATCAAGCCTGGCCTGCCATTCAATAAGATCATGGCCGATCTAGCTATGTTCTGAATTGCATATTCCCAACCACCCGTGTTAGTCTTCAATTTCCTTGCCTAACAAGAATCTATCCAGCTCCACCTTAGAATTATTCTCTGACCCTGCCTGTACTGACCTCTGAAGCAGAGGTTCAAAAGTTACAGAACACACTGAGAAAAAGGTCTTCTTTTTGTCTCTGTCCCGAAAGGGTGATCCTTAGTTTTTACATACCTCTGCCAGTTTTGGGCTCAACCGCAAAAGGAAACATCCTTTCCAAGTCCACCTTCAGGATCTCATCCACTTCAATCAAGATCACCTCTTGTTTTTCTAAACTCCAGCGAAAACAAGCCCAACCTGTCCAATCTATCCACGCAAGTCAATTCGCTCATTCCATCAATCTAGCAAACCTCCTCTGAACTGCCTTCGATATATTTACATCCTTCCTTAATTCAGGAGAATAAAACTGCACACAACATTTAAGATGGGATTTCACTAATGTCTTCTATAACTGAAGCATCACAGAATTGTTACAGCACAGGACGAGGCCATTCAGTCTATTGTACATGCCCTGTTCCAATCCCTAGTGCCTATCTCAGGCCTTTTCCTGATATCCCTGCACACCATTTCCATCCAAACATCCTTATTTAGAAACAGCTTTGATAAAATCCTAGCCATTATCTTCAATTCCTCTTGTAATAAAGTCCAACATCCCAGCAGCATTCCTGATTATGTGCTGTAACTTCATACTCATCTCTGGTGACTCATGCACTACAGCACCTAGATTCTTTTGCATTCCAGAATTCTGCAGTTATTCTCTCATTAAAAGTCATACTCTGCTCTTTCATTCCTCCTGTCTGCCAAAATGAACAAATTCACATATTCCCATCTGCCAGATTTTTGTTCACTCACTTAACCTACCCAGATTGGTCTGCATCTCTGTTATGTCATCTTCACAACAAACTTTCCAACCAATTTTTGTGCCATCTGCAAATTTAGTCATTGTTCCTTTCATCTAAGTCAGTGATACAAATTGTAAAAGGTTGAAGGCCCAGTGCAGATCCCTGTGGAACCCTATTTGTCACACCCTGCCAATCTGAACTGATTTATGCGTAATCTTTGTTTTCTGTCATCCAGCCGATTGTCTCTCCATGCTAGTGTGTTGCTCCATATACCAACAGGGGTGCACAGAAGGAAGGGCTAGCTGAGATCGCATGTTCATCTAGGTCCCACAGAGTGGAGAGTACAATACTGGACTCAAACATTCAACACAGAGTGAATTCTTCCCCAGTAGAAGCGATGATCCTAACCACCTGGTAACCATCAATGCCTGCCAACTACAAGGCCAGTTCACTTTGCACTCCAAGATAGTCTCAATAAATAATGATGATACTCTCACCAATAAAGTGAAACCAATGTAAAAGTGAAATATTTACATGTGAAATTTAATTGTGAAAATCATCCTTTGTGCTCTCGAGTCTTATAATACTAGCTATAGAGTTGGGAAAGGAAAGCTATGACCATGATCCAAATCCTCACTGTTGACCAGGAGACTTTTTAATGGAACAAAAACAGAAATTGCTGCAAAAAGCTCAGCAGGTTGGCAGCATCTGTGGAGAAAAATCAGAGTTAACATTTCGGGTCCGGTGACCCTTCTTCACTGAGAAATGGTCACTTGACCCGAAACGTTAACTCTGATTTCTCTTCACAGGTGATGCCAGACCTGCTGAGCTTTTCCAGCAATCTCTGCTTTTGTTTCTGATTTACAGCATACGCAGTTCTTTCGGTTTTTATTTAGGCATGTTAATAGGCTGCTCATCGATGTAGTATTGTGAGCTTATGGCATGTTTTATCGATGAGAAGCTTCTCTAGCTAAATTGCACGTGTTTTGCATGCAAACCACAGCGACATCAAATTTTAATTATAATCGTGTTTGAAAAGGCAACGAGAGAGAAAGTAGAAGTGTTGCAACATTTGTAGTCGCGACATCAGGAATGGTAAATAGCTTACACAGTCCAGACCATATTCTCTGCATCCAGTCGAGTTAAATTCCCTCAGGATCTTAAATAAAAGCAAAATACTGCAGATGCTTGAAGTCTGAAACAAACACAGAAAATATTGGAGAAACTCAGCAGATCTGCAAGTATCTGCAGAGAGAGAAACAGAGTTAATGTTTTGAGTCCAACACAACTCTTTTCTTCAGGTGTTTCAGTGAAGAGTCATACCAGATCTGAAATGTTGACTCTGTCTCTCCACAAATGCTGCCAGACCTGTTGTGTTTCTCCTGCATTTTCTGTGCTTGCTCCCCTCAGGATTTTGTATGCTTCAGTAAAATCACTCCTCACATCAATGAGAAGAGGCACAAACCACTCAACCTTTCCTCATAAAACAACCACCTCATTCCAGGAACCAGCCGAGGGAACTTTCTCTGAACTACTTCCAAAGCTAACATATGCTCCTTATCTAAGTAGATCAAAACTGAACACAGTACTCTAGACAAGGCCTTAACAATGCTCCATACAGTTAAAGGAAGATTTACTCTACTTTTACACACCAACCCACTTCAATAAAGGTCAACATTCCATTTGCCTTCCCAATTACTTGCTTTACCTGCATGCTAATTTCTCATGATTTATGTATAAGAACCTCCAGATCCCAATGTTTCACAGAATTCCGCAGCTTATCTCTATTTAAATCATTTTCTACTTTTCTACTCTTTCTGCCAAAGTGGTCAAACTCACAATTTCCCACATTTTGCTCCGTTTACCCAATTTTCACCCATTTACTTACCCTTCTCTATTCCAATACAGACTTTCTGCATCCTCTGCACAATTTGTTTTCTGTTTTCATATTCTCAGCAAATTTGGCTTCAATACAGTTGGTCTCTTCATCCAAGTCATTAATGTAGATCAGAAATAAGTTCAGGCCCCAGCACTGATCCCTAAGGCTCCATAAAATACAGTTTGGCAACTTGAAAATGACTTGTTCACCCAGACTCTTTCTTGTTAGTTAGCCAATCATCTATCCCTCCTATTATTTCATCCCTAACATCATGAGCTCTTCTCTTGTGGTAATCCTTTATGTGGCATCATTTGGAAATCAAAATCAGTTGATTCTCCTTCATAATTACTACATGTTCCAGCAGTCACCGTTTAGCAAGAGCAATTTTTGTATTTGGTACGCTAGAGATTAATTTTCTGGAGTTTTATCTTTTTATTTTGTACATGTATCATTATTTTAAACATAATTATGTTTATAAACATGTATGTTTGTGCAGTTCTAATAGGCTGACTGGCCTTCTTCTGCATTGTAATAATTTGGTGATATGTGTATGCTATGTCATGAGGCACTCAAATACAGCAGTTAAGCTTCCTTGATAGTATAGATCTGCCATGAGCTCTATAGCAGAGGCAGCAAGCAGCCATGCTGTCAATCAATAGCCATCTATCAAAAGTAACCACTCATCCATAACCAGCAGGAAAACACACTTTCAAAACCATCTACCTGTCCCAGGCCACCTGTACTTGGTGGATCAAAATTAGCCAAATTTAGTGCCATGATGGAATCATATCAAAAAGCACTTTAGCCTGCTTTTGTTGATTTTTCTGGTTGTGGAGCTAGAAGATTTTCAAGGGGAGCCCAGGAACCAGATGGATAGATAGATGGAAGGATTGAGGATGGAGTGACTGTATGCAAAATCTTTGGGACAAGGTCACTTGTTGCCCATGCAAGTTCTTTTGGGTCAATTTGTTTGGCAATCTGGTAATACCAAAATGTGCCAGGACATATTTTATATGGCTCTTAAGGGCTATCCTTTGCTAGTTTTATATTTCCAGAAATATCACTAGAAGTATCTGCAGGTTTAGAAGGTCTCTTTTCTCAGGTGAAGCAATTGGATAGTCTCAAAGACATGAACTAAACTGGCTGCTGACGTATGACATGCTCAGTTTATGCCAACTGACAGCAACTACAGCAGGATTAATCCGATCAATCTTTCTATTTTTCCCTCAGTTGTACTTTTCAGGGTGTGACAGAAAACTGTAATAACATACATACCGACTCCACAATTTCTTCTACTTCTTCCACGTCATGTGATTGAGATTTTGATAGTTTCTTTGGTTCGGGCAATACAACAGAAAACTGTTTCTTCAATTTTGGCTCAGGTTTAATTTCCTTGACAGGTGACTTTGTAGGCATTGGCTTTGGCGGTGGTGGTAACCGTCCAAGCGCCAGGGGTGAAGGGTTAGCCTGTTCCTCTGGCTCTTCTGGTGGCAGTTTTACATCTGTGCGCACAAGGTAACTATGGTAAGCACTATGTAACTGTCCATTGCCTGCAGTTGTGACAGGGTAAACCGCTGACTTGGGCTGCTTCCACTCGTTCCCTTGCTTTGTAGTCATCTTGGTGCTGCCTTTTGACAATGATCTATTCCCTGACGCTCCCAAGACATCCTTGTTAACACTGCTGGAAGAGCCTTTATTCCAGGTGGTATTTTGAGTCTTCTTGTATATTGGTGGTGATGGAGGTGGGGTCGGGGCAGGACTGTGTTCAGGAGTATATGGTGGAGTTGTACCTTTCCTGTAGAAATGAGGACTGTTGTTATTTGCTGAAGAAGATTTCTTCTCTTGTGGAGGTGGAGGCTCTTCCTTCTTCTCATTGTATCCCATTGCCTCCTGCATCCTCTGCTTAATGTATTCTAGTCCTAGAAAAAGACAAAATTATTTGTGATGGAACAATGATTTACGGAAAAGACTGATTGATAGAGGAGAAAGATTCAAAGAAGGAAGTAAATATATCTAAACATAATTAAAGAACACAGAACAGACTTCGACTAGCTGTTAATCATTTTCAGATGTGAAAAGTATCTGTTTCAAACAATCACTGTCATAAAATGGATCAGGTCAGAAGTCACATGACACCAGGTTATAGTCCAACAGGTTTATTTGCAATCATAAGCTTTCGGAGCGCTTCTCCTTCGTCAGGTGAAGCACTTCCGCCCAGTCCAACACCGGCACCTCCACATCATAAAATGGATAGTCATCAAAAATTTGCATTCAAAAAATGTTGTCGCAAAATTTTAAAAGGTTTGGAAGAGCCGGTGGCCTTCGAGGTTATAATTTGGCGGCTGGTGCAAGTTACCTTTTACATTCGGCTTCTAACTGACATATGGATGAAGGTCACAATCTCAAGCAATGATTTGTTCGTGGGTTGCTACCGGGATTTTGCCAAAAACTAATAATAGGTGTCAACTAGCACTTAGTGATGTTGCAATGCAATCCTTTTTGAAATTGAGACAATTAGAAGTATTTTTGAAATTTAATTTTTGTAAATATGGAGTTGCAGAGAGCTCACCACTCTGCAATGGAATGACTATTTTGCTGGTAACAGTTTATCTTTCAGGACACTTAGATAAATACCCAAAAAGAAACAAAAAGTTGAATTAACTCAGCAAATAACAAGACAACAACAAAGCTTAAAAACACAACAGAGACAAGGAAGGGTGTAAGACAAAAAGAGATACCATTACTATTGAAAAGTAAGAAGAAACTTTGAGATAGTGAAAAAAATTAGTGAAGATAAAAGCAAGATAAAGTACAACATGAAGATTGGCAAGGTTAAACAAACCAAAAAAGATGTGCAAAGAAGCTTTGAAAAGATTTAATTATTAAAGAAAATGGCTCAGGCTCACTGTTGGGTAAAAAAAGGGAATGCAGATAATCAAATGCAGAATCAAAAGAGCCTGAACATTTCACAGCAAGACTATTTAATTCATTGCCTGAAATTTCTCCCTTTATTTTAGAGTATTACTGTTCAAATAAATTGGTTAATACTACAAATCATAGATTTTTATAGCATAGAAAGAGCTATTCAGCCTATCGTATGTATCCACAAAAAGAACTATCCAATTTACTCCCACATCCTAGATTTATCCCCATAATCCTGCAGGAACATTTCCAATTGCATTTCAAAAATTGCAGTGGAATTTGACTCCACTTTTCTTTCTCATCATGCTTTCTGGATCTTAATCTGCAGCAAAGACATTTCTCATTTCTTTTCTAGTCCTTTGCTAATTATTTTGAATCTCTGACCTCTGCTTATTTACCCATTTGTCAGAGGAAGTGGTATCTCCCAACACAATTAAAATTCTAACTATTTTGAATGTCTCGATTAATTCTCCCCTTAAATCTTCTCCAATCTAAGGAGAATAATCTTGGCTTGCCCAGTCTCTTCGCTTAACTGAACTCCCTCATCAATGATACCATCCGAATGAATACCCTGTATATACTCCCTATATTCTTGACACCCTTCCAATTATCCAGAATACCACACAATACTCCAGCTGAGATCTAATGCAAGACTTAAAGGCTTACTTAACTTCCATGTGTGTACAATGAATTACCCTATTTACAAAGCCAAATATCTTAAACATTTTTGTAACTGTGTTATCAACTTGTCCAGTCACCCTCAATGATTTATGAATACACATCCCAGGTCCCCTGGCCTTGCACCTTCTTAAACTAACACCATCGAGCCTATATTACTTCCCCACTCAACTGCATGGCAAGCATCTGTCCATTTTACCAGGATCGTCCTGGAATCTGCAAGTATAATGCGCACCATTTAATATGTTACTGCGTTTTGTACTCCCTAGTCTAACTCCAGGTTATCTATTTCTTAGAAAATGCTCAGGTTGCCAGTACAGGAAGAGCCCAAATGTTCTTCAATCGGAAGAACATTCACTACCATCCCCTTCATCCTACTGGAGCCAACCTTAGCCAAAGTGACTGCTCTCTCTTTAAATATGATCTGTTTCTATTTGATGAGTTAATGTGCCATGAGGATCTTCATCAGATGCCTTCTGAAAACCCATACATCTCTCTGGCTGGATTTCACACCCCCTCCCAACCAATGAGTTTGAAGAGAGGAGGTGGGAACTAAACTCCAACATGCAGCCTTCTTGCCCCAACCTGCCTGATACTTTATGAAGGGGGTTATCGTAGAATTCATACGGTGCAGAAACAGGCCATTCAGCCCATTGAGTCTCACTGATCGTTTGAAGAGCATTCTGTCCAGACCGAGCCCCCTCACCCTTACCCTATAACCCTGCATTTCCCATGGCCAATTCACCTAGTCTGCACATCCCTGGACACCACGGGGCAATTCAGCATGGCCAATCCAGCTAACCTGAACATCTTTGGGCTGTGGGAGGAAACTCACACAGACACAGGGAGAACGTGCAAACTCCACTCAAACAATCACCCAAGGCTGGAATCAAACCCAGGTCCCTGGAGCTGTGAGGCAACAGTGCTAACCACTGAGCCACTGTGACACCCATAAAGGGTTCAGAGTGGTGTCAGGTTCGGCTGACCTTGGGTCTACTGAAGTTCATAAGTGGCCAATTAATGGTAGACCCCTCAAGTCACCATCCTCCCTTCCAAACCAGCCTCAGCCTCTTGAACCCAGCCACTCAGCCCTTTCACTCAGGTTAGGTGTGCAGGCATGAGCAAGATCCTAGACTCTGGATTGACTTGGGCTGTTTGGCATGGTGGGACTGCCAGTACTTCAAGACATGGCCACCTCTCAGGGTAACGTTGCTGAGACTAGATTCTGCTGGCCACAAAGGAGGACTTTGTACTGAGACCTTAAATAAAGGTTGCCATGCCCCTCCTCATGTTAACTCACTGTGAGCCAACTGTTGGGATTGTGGATAGGTAGTTCCTGACCTTTCAGCTGGAACACCATAAAATCCAGCACTCTGCTACTTCAGACTTGGTAGAATTGCCTTCAACAAATCCACGTAGGCTGTCCTTTATTATCCCATGCTTCTCTAAATTAAAATTAATTTTATCATTGACAATGGTGACTAAAGGTTCTCTCCACTTAAGCTGACTGGCCTGTAGGTACCAGGTTAATCCAGTTTTTTGAACAGGAGCACAATGTTTGCACCCCTCACTTGTTTATCGCCATCCCAATATCCAAAGTGATTGAAAAATTGCAGTCAGAGTTTATAATATCTCTGTCTTGGATTCCCTCAGAAACCAAGGATGTGTCTAATCTGGACTGGATGACTTGTGTCAATCTTCTTTCGATCTATTTCCGTTCTTTCTGATATCTTTATTCCCTATTCCAATACTCTGACAATACAAGACAGATGCAACATGTGCATTCAGTACCTGCCTCCATTTTGAGAGGATTTTGTTTTCTTGTCCCTAATCATTTATATTATTTCTTTAATTAACCTTTTTATTGAACTATAAAAGACTGTTTGGGCCCCTTTTATGCTATTTGATGATGCTTTCTCGTACTCCGTCTTTGCCTTGCTTTTTAATCAACTTTCAATTTCCCTCTGCAATTCTCTGTATTCCGTCTATTCGACATTTTCACACCTCGGTCACGAGGAAGTTCCAACACAGAGAGCTGCCACAATCCAACGGGACTCCGGGTCAATAGAAAGTACTGGGTGGGGATTGCTTGTGGTGACTACAGGAGAGAAGATCCTGGATGTCTGACAAGTCAGGAGAAGGGCTGGGGGATTGCTCCAGTCAGGAAAATGTTGGAGGCACCTTGGGCAGCCTTAATCCAGTTTGGTATTTTATCTAAAGATGAATACCAAAAGCATCTGAGCTACTTAAAAGCTTGAAATCTACATAAAACTGCCGCAGCCTTTATTATCTAAATAAATTAAGTTTGGAGATGGGCTAGATTCATAGTTGATGCACAAAGGAAATGTATGCAGTGGCTGTCCAGGTAACATCTGGCGACTGGACATCTATTGAATGTTTCACATGGACAACATCTGGATCATTTACACAATGCTTTGTCAGCACATTGAAAAACAGGTACAGAGATGTACTCCAATACTGATTTTAGCTGATTGCTTAATCAATGATTACGAGGCTAGTGATCTGTCTTTCTTTCACGCTAACTACGTTGTGAATTACAGCAGCTGTAAATCCTCTCTGAACCTTAAAAGCCAAAATAAAACTCAAGCAGCATTATGCCATCTAAAGCAGCAGAGATAAACGCACACTCTTTGGAATGCTTTAGAGTATCGCTGTTAAAAATACCATCTTATCAAGAAAATTAAATATTCTTTTTCAAACTCCTGTGGACATAGTGAACATGAACTTACATTGATGTATCTTCGCTACTAATAAAGCTTAGCAGTGTCCACTGAGGGTTACTGCAGTTTCAGAATGTTGTTCGTGTGTTGAACATTGACAACGTTTAGCAGAAGATACCAAGTGACACTGCAGCTGCCAACTTAATTTCCTACTAGTGGCAGGTTCAGACGATGATGGAAAATATGAAAAAAATGGCCGTGAATATTATTTAGCAGAGCCCAAAAATAGTTAACTAGGGCGAACCCTGCTGGATTTTAGTTATTCCTGGAGGTAGCATTACATGATTTAGGTCTTACATGATTTGGAGTGCTAAGTTGCCCTCCCTGAAGGTGGTGAGAAGGGGAAATAATCAGGAGAGTTGGTCTTGGAGACAAACTTGGTCCCTCAACAATTGGTGCTGAGTGAGAAGGTCCTCTGGGAACTCACAACTTGCAAGGTCCTTAAGTGGTTAATTAATGGCTTGTATCGTACAAAGCAGAATACTTAAACCTAGCATGGCAAATCGGCTTATGAATGTATGAAATAGGAGGAGTAGGCTATTCAGCCCCTTCTACCTGCTCTGTGTTTCAATAATATC